TATTGATGTTGTTTAGCAGCAAAGAACGAGTGTCAGTAAAGAAATGTGTTTTGAAGCAGAAGACCTGAATTCCATGCCAGTGCTGCCGTTCACAGGGTAACTTTTTCTAAGCCAGGGCATTGCTCTCGAACTCTGTTTTCTCATCTCTACAATTATCATATTCAACAAGATCAGTAATCAAAAATACATGGCATTTGTACCTGGCACCTCACACCCTGGAAGTCGCCTCCAGGAACACCCTAGGTCCGTCTGGTTAATGGAATTACATCACTCTTTGCACAGAGCCTAAGGAAAGTCCTCCACCCAGCATCCAGAAAACCAGCAGCAGTGTCTGAAACTGGCAGGCATGGAAAACCCACAGCTGACAAGATCTCCTTCAGAACCACTCACTGTTTTGAATTCTCCTCCTGCATGAACAGTTCTCCACGTTTCCTTTGAGCATCGTTACAGAGTGCCCGGTGCTCGTTGGCCCCAGGGTGGGTTTTGGAAGACTGCCGGCTCCCTGCCGCTCCCCGTCCCCTGTCCATCCACACTCCTTCCCATGGGCGGTCTTGCATTTCTCATGTGAAACCACTGATTTCTCAGGAACGTCAATTCATGCCCCAAATCATTCTAGGTGCTACACAATGGCTACATATTTCTTAAAGCCTAATAGTGGAGTGACATGTCTTTGTGACATTATGAATCTCAGAATAGTTACCAAAACCTTTAGAAACGTTGCTCATCTTCTCCTCAAGTTGCTGAAAGGGCTGTGCGCCATGTAAATGTTGCCAATTTTGTTCTGAGGGAAACAACAACTACATCTGGGGCAGAATTTCCCATTTTTTATGGAGAAACTCAGGCCAAGGCAACAGAGTCATCTAAATGGCAGAGTGAGTTAATCATATAGCCGAAAGACAAATAAATCATTCTTTCAGATGTTACTAATGTGTCTATGAACACAAATTGTGCAAGTCATTTCAATTTTTATCACTGAATAGTATTGCATTGTGTGCATGTGACATAGTTTATATATTCAAGTGCGAAGGGCATCTTGATTAAGTCTAAGTTTTGGTGACTATGAAAAATCTACACTAAATCTTCACATGTTGGTGTTGTGTAAACATAAGTTTCCAAGTCAGTAAGGTTAATATCAAGAAGTGCAATTGCCAGATCGTATGGTAAGATCATGTTTAATTTTGTAAGAAATTGCCAAACCATATTCCAAATTGGCTGTCCCATTTTGTATTTGCACCAATAATGAATGAGAGTTCCTGTATTTCCCTAGCATTTGGTATGGCCAGTATTTTTGATTGTAGCCATTCTAAAAGGTATGTAATGCTAGCTCATTGTTATTTTAATTACTATTTTTTAAAGAATGCATTATCTATTTTTTCTAATTTTCTGTTAAATCTACTTTCAACCACTATATTTGTGATATTTTTATCCTTTATCAGTCATCTATATCTTAGTATACTTAACAAGATTGCCTACTTACATGTGTGCGTGATAGAAAAAGACAAATAGGAGAAATTTTATTTCAGAATATTACAGGGATACAAATGTTTTGGTTACATGAATTGCTTTTGTACAGTTTGAGTCAAAGTTATAAGTGTGCACATCACCCAGAAAATCTTCATTCTACCCGTCAGATGTGATTTTTACCCAAACCCTACCCCCCCGCCACGTGCTTGATTTCCATTGAGTTTTATTTCCCTATGTGCACGTGAGTGCTAATCCATTAGTTCCAATTTAATAGTGAGTACGTGTGGTGTTTGTTTTTCCATTATTGCAATACTTCACTTAGGAGAATGGTCTCCAGTTCCATCCAAATTGTTACAAAAGGTATTAATTTATTCTTTTAAAGCTGAGTACTACTCCATGGTATACGTAATACCACATTTTATTAATCCACTCATGAACTGATGGGTACTTGGATTGATTCCACATCTTTGCGATTGTGAATTGTGCTGCAGTAAACATTCGGGTGCAAGTGTCTTTTTGATAAAATGGCTCTTTTTCCTTTGGGTAAATACCCAGTAGTGGCATTGCATGATCAAATGTTACGTCATCTTTTAGTTCTTTGAGGAATCTCCATACTATTTTCCAGAGAGGTTGTACCAGTTTGCCATCCCACCAACAGTGTATAATAAGTCTTATTTTCTTACCACATCCACACCAGCATCTGTTGCGTTGGGACTTTTTCATAAAAGCCATTCTCAGTGGAGTTAGTTGATATCTCATTGTGATTTTGATTTGCATTTCCTCAATAATTAGAGACATTTAGCTTTTTTTCTTATGTTTATTGGCCATTAGTCTATCTTCTTTTGAAAAGTTTCTTCTGTTCATGTCTTTTTCCACTTTTTAATGAGGTTGTTTATTTTATTTATTTATTGCTGATTTGCTTGAGTTCTTTGTAGATTCTGGTTATTAGCCCTTTATCTGATATATAGCTTGCAAATATTTTCTCCCATTCTGTAGGTTGTCTATTTGCTCTGTTGATTGTTTCCTTGGCTGTGCAAAAGATTTTTAATTTGATCAGGTCCCATGTATTAAATTTTGTTGTTGCTGTGATTGTCATTGGGGTCTTCACAAATTCTTTTCCTAGGCTGATATCTAGAAGATTTTTTCCTACATTTTCTTCTAGAATTCTTATAGTTTCATGCCTTAGGTTTAAGTCTGTTATCCACCGCGAGGTGATTTTTGTGAGAGGTGAGAGGTGTGGATCCTGTTTCAGTCTTCTACATGTGGCTATCTAATTTTTCCAGTACCCTTTATTGAACAGGGATTCTTTTCCCCAGTGTATATTGTTGTCTGCTTTGTCAAAGATTAGTTGGCTGTATGTGGATGGTTTTATATCTGGGTTTTCTGTTCTGTTCCATTGGTCTACATCTCTATTTTTGTGCCAATACCCTGCTGTTTTGGTTACTATAGCCTTGTGGTGTAGTTTGAAGTCTGGTAATGTACCTCCAGATTTTTTCCTTTTGCTTAAGGTTTCTTTGGCTATTCAGGGTCTTTTCTGGTTCCACACAAAGCATAAAATTATTTTTTCTAGATCTGTGAAATATGACATTGGTATTTTGATGGGGATTGCACTGAATCTGTAAATCGCTTTGGGTAGTATGGACATTTTAACAATGTTGATTCTACTGATCCGTGAGCTGGATATTTTTCTTGACTTGTTTGTATCATCTGTAAATTCTTTCCTCAGTGTTTCATGGTTCTCCTTGTAGAGATCTTTCACCTCCTTGGTTAAGTATATTCCTAGGTATTTTATTTAAAAATGAATATAAAAGGCAATCACATCTGTTAAGAATAACTAAAATAATGACCAGTATTTATAACGTTTTATTACATTTATCATTTTACTTTGTCATTAAAATCTTACAAGGAAAAAATTTGTATTAACTCAAGTTTTACTGAAGAGGAAATTGAGCCTCAGATACATCACATGATTGACAGAAGTTCACATGGTCTTTATGTGGTGCTGAAATTGACGTTCAGTTCTCAGGGATCATTTCCTCCTTATTTTCTGATTTATTGTGTCCTTTGTACCTCAACATCTTCTGGGTTGGAAATGCTTGGTCATATCATATGGCACATGGTATTTTCCAAGGCAATCTGCCAAAATTAAAGAAGAGGAGAATCTCCTGTTAGACAGCCTCAGGAAAGCTGCCCCTGGTCTACAACTGATAACCCCGCTCAATTAGATAGGACCAGATCTACTTTCCCAATTAACTTGTCAGCCCAACTTACAGTGTTCCAAGGTGGGTTGTTGTATTTGTCATTATTTTTACTATTATTTTAGAGATAAGGTCTTGCTCTGGGGCCCAGGCTGGAGCCTAGTAGCACAGGGCTGTTCTATTTGGCTAAAGATTTTGTCTAACACAAAGAAGTTTTTTCAGTGCAATAGGAGGTTTGGCTATGTTTCATTCACCCATTCACATCTGTGAACAGCAGAACATCACTGAACCCAGCTGTGGTTTTGTGAAACTGTTAAGAGCACAAAGCCTGGGATAGCAGTATGCAGAGGTGACCCAAAGTATCTGGGATGTGGTCCTGGTTTTCACTGCTGAGCCTATGATTTAGGCCATTTTTCTCCAGGTCTCAGCTTCCTAAAAAGAGATGATACTACGTCATTAACAAAGAGTTTTCCAGCTCTAACTTTCAGATGAAAGTCTGGTTATTTCTTTCTCATTTATCCAATGCAAAAGCCAGTGCTGAAAAGAAGGAAAAATGCGCTGTCCGCAATTTCTTTGGAAGAAAAAGATTGGTAGAAATAGCCCCACAAACACTAACATCTACAGGGAGATTTGAGAAGCCTAATAATCCTAAAGAATCGGAGAGGAGGCTGAAAACTGATTACAGAAATTGTTAGGTAATGGGAGCACTTCTTTCTCAACTATCTTTCACTGTCTCTGTCAATGCCACAATTATTTGCCACATAAAAGAATAACATTGCAGAATCCTTCCTCTATAGAGGTTTAGTCTTGGCTTTTCTACAAAATACATGATTCATTTTATTTGCAGCTCCAAATTTAGATAAAGGAGAAATGTTTTCAGTTGTTACTCAAAGAAGAGATGTCAGGATTTTCTAAATCCTTGTGTGAATCTACATAGATACCCCTTTTAAAGTTCATGAAAATTTACTTTCCTTCAAAGTCTTTGAAATTTGACATTCCTAAACCTTCCATAAATTCTATCTATGGATAGGTTAAAGAATATAGTCAAAATCACCAGATCTTATTAGGCCATTGAAGATGGACAGAATATGTAATATTAACCAGAGATTTGTGGACATTCATATACATGAATTACAATCAGAGAACTGGTATGACATGAATTGAAATCAGTGGAAACAAAGAAAGAATACACACAAGTGCCATTTATGGAACTCCGGCACTATTTGTATGTGAATGTTACAGTAGCTTTGCATTTTGGTGTGGCATTGTCAGTTGCTGCCAACATTATCTGCATTATCTAGGAAGGAGTCCCATATACCCTGAACAGATGTAGAGGTCTTAGCCTGTCACTTCACAGGCCCCTAGGCATCTTGCCATAACCCTCCTCCAGGCCCCTATCACATCCCTGTTCCTCAGACTGTAGATGAGAGGGTTTAACAGGGGGGTGAGGATGGTGTAAAAGGCAGAGAAGACCTTGTCTTTGATCTGGGTGTGGTAGGATCTGGGAAGCATGTACGTGTACAAGGCAGCCCCATAGAACAGAGTCACCACGATCACGTGTGATGAGCAGGTGGCGAAGGCCTTCTTCCTCCCTTCTGCCGACTTCATCTGCTGCACTGTGATGAGAATCCGGGTGTAGGACGCAATCACCACAGAGAAGGGGATCAGCAGCATCATGACGCAACAAACGTACATCACCATTTCGTAGGCGGCCTTGTCCCCACAGGCCAGCCTCAGCATAGTGGGTGCCTCACAGAAAAAGTGATTGATCTTGTGAGAGGCGCAGAATGGGAGACTCATGGTGATGGGGGTGAGGAGGAAACTGTCCAAAGCACCACCAAGCCAGGAACTGGCCAAGATCATCCAGCAGACCCGCCGGCTCATGAGGATGGGATAGTGGAGAGGGTGGCAGATGGCCACGTAGCGGTCGTAGGCCATGAGCCCCAGCAGGAAGAATTCAGCCCCCACAAAGCCCATGTAGAGAAAGTACTGGGCTGTACAGGCAATGAAGGAGATAGTCCCCTTGCCCACAAAATAATCAGCCAGCATCTTGGGCACGATGGTGGAGATATACATCACATCAATGAAGGAGAGGTGGCTGAGGAGGAAGTACATGGGGGTGTGGAGGTGAGGGTCTGTGTGGACCAGGAAGATTGTGACCCCATTAGCTATCACGGCCATGAAGAAGACGGCACAGATGGCACCGAAAAGGAATCCTGAGGCTTTGCTGCGAGTGAAGAGCCCTGTGAGGGTGAAGTCACTGGACAAGGTCCTGTTGTCTTCATCCATGGTGTTGAGTTTGACCTGGAGGCATAAGAACAGATGTATGGGGTTAATGAAAATCACAAAAGAAAAATGAATCATTTAAAAATGTCTGTATATGCATTATTAAATTAAAATTATATAACTAAATCAACGAGTTTTTGGTGGAGTGGATTAGCAGCTTCTTCTCTCCTGGCTATTTCTTGGTGAAGAGCAATTCCAAAGCTAGGTCCCCATGGCATGAGGATGAGTGGGCATTTGGCAATTGGTGCTTGGTCTAAGGGAGTTTAATTACTATTGCAGAGCACCTGGGCCCTAGAGAAGATCCTTCACTCAGAGTTGGCTCCATTTATTTAAAATGTGGTACAGCTGCAGGACAATTGATTCAAGCAATTCAAATTACCAAATATAGTAATTCAACAAGACATTTGAAGGAATTAGGCATTTTCCTGATAATCTTAAAACTGAGCAGTCTCATGTAAAAAAAAATCATGAATTGTAGACACGACTGAAAACAATGGTGAACTGTAGTAAAAAAAGGATCACAACTTCCTTCATCTGATCACTGACCATCCTAATCAGTCCTTCACTCAGTTGGTGATTTCTCATTGATTCACACACCAAATCTTTATTCATGGAGAGTCCCTTGCAGTGTTCTCAGCTCAGCGGATACTGTAGTAAACAAAGGAGATTGTGTTTCCTGCAATTTACAGTCCAGCTGTGGGAGAAGCACAATAAACAAGTAACAAAGGGGAACCACGGTTTCAGGTAATGCCTTAAGAGCTTTAAGGAAAGCTTTAACACAGACAGTGAAAGATAACCAAAGACAAACAATTTGAAGATTGGGGAAAGGATGTTGCTACAGAATGAATAACAAATGTAACATTCCTACAGAATACTGCTTGCAGCAGTCAGGAAACAAAAGTCAGCTCAGGAAGAGCCTTGTAAATTAGGGTGACGGTGAGGTATCAGTGGTCAGTTCTTTAGGGCATGTGGACCAGAGTAAAGAGGCCGAAACTATTTTCTAAGTATTATCAGTAGAATTGAGTTATAGTTTAAAATGTGTAAAAGTTTGTTTAACATTTAATGTGTTAATTCTGATCCTTTTAGTGTACCTTTTGTACATTTAAAGCAATGTGGGTTTTTTGGGGAGGGGGCTTTATTTTACATTTTTGTGGGTCTTCAAGACTTTCCAAGAGGAAAATCTACATCTGGGTTAGAGTGGGGTAGCCCAGGTTCTGCCTTGCGTCCTAGTGTCCCACCTATTTTAATATGTTCCCCACCCTCTTTCACTCTCAGAAGCTTCCTGACTTGATCAGTTAGTCATAAACCCTAGAGAAGGAGACCAGAGGAAATGTGTGAAGGACTGTAAGCCTGAAGGCGGCAGGAAGCCACTCAGGGTCTCAGATGGTGGAGGGGCATCCACACTGTGGGTGGTAAAGTCACATCTTGAAATACAATAAAAATAAGGAAATCCTTTTAAAGAAGTCCTCATTGGTTTCATCATTCTTCAAAAGGCAATATAATTTTTGAATTTTTGAACATTATTGTGTGCGCTCAGGGATTGCTCCATACAATGGGGCAGATGATGCAGCAGTAATTACACGTAAGTGACAGTTTCTTGACCAAGCAACACCATTTTGGAGTAAGGGGTCTCTATGGTGCCTCTCAACTCCGAAATATGTGAGCTAAGAATGCTTGTTTGGGGACCTGGCTCAATTATTAGTTAGCAGTGTGTCTCAATGCACATTACTTAAAATCTTAGAGCCCGTTCCCTGACCTCTAGTTAAGGATATCACAGGAAAGTTAAGAATTAAGAATAGTGAAATTGTCCAGGACTCAGAAAAAAATGAAATCTCATGTACTGTTGGTAAGAGGATAAATTGTTACAACCACTTTTAAAGATGATTTAGGATTATTTACTGAAATAGAAGTTAAACGTACACTCTGACCAAAAATTCCCTCCTAGATATTTAGTGATTTAGTTTTAGTTTTAATTCCCTGATTATTAATGATGCACTAGGCCTATTCCTGTGTTTATTACCACTTTGAATTTCCTTGTTTGTAAAATGCTCACTCATTTTTTTAGCCATTTTTCTATTGGGTTGTCTTTTTTTAAAAGCTGGTCTGTAAATTAAAAAAAAAAAAACATTTTGGATACAAGGTCTTTGTTGCTTCTATGTTTTGCAATTGTTTCATTCCACTGTGTGCCTCTTTAATTGTACTCTTTATGGTATGTTTTAATAAATGTAAGTTCTTTTTAATGCAAAAAAAATGAATAGTGAAAAACTGAATTCGGGTTCTAGGATTTTGTTGAGAATTTTTGCATCTATATTCATAAGGGATATTGGTCTGTAGTTTTCTCTTTTTTTGCATCCTTTCCTGGTTTTGGTATCAGAGTTATGTTGGCTTCACAAAATGTGCTGGGGAGGATTCTATCCTTTTCAATATTATCGAAAAATTTCTGCAGGATACACACCATTTCTTCTTTGTAGGTGTGGTAAAATTTGGGTGTGAAATCATCTGGTCCAGGACTTTTCTTTTTAGGAAGGTTTTTTATTGCTGTTTCAATTTCAGTACTTGATATTGTTCTGTTCAGGAATTCTATTTCTTCCTGGTTGAGCCTAGGGAAGCTGTGTGTTTCTAAAAATTTGTCCATTTCCTCCACACTTTCCAGTTTATGTGCATAAAGGTTTTTGTGGGCTTCATCCCAGAGATGCAGGGGTGGTTCAACATATGCAAATCTATAAATGTAATTCACCACATAAATAGAAGCAAAAACAAAGACCATATGATCCTCTCAATAGATGCAGAAAAAACATTTGACAAAATTCAACACCCTTTTATGATAAGAACACTTAACAAAATAGGCATAGACAGGAATTACCTAAAAATGATACAAGCCATATATGACAAACCCACAGCCAACATTATACTGAATGGGGAAAAATTGAAAGCATTCTCACTCAGAACTGTGACCAGATAAGGTTGCCCACCATCTCCACTTCTATTCAACATAATGCTGGAAGTCCTTGCTAGAACAATTAGACAAGAGAGGGGAATTAAGGGCATCCAAATGGGAGCAGAAGTGATCAAACTCTTATTCTTTGCTGATGGTATGATATTATATCTAGAAAACCCCAAGGATTCATCCAAGAGACTCCTGGAATTGATGAATGAATTCAGTAAAGTCTCAGGATAAAAAATCAATACACACAAATCAGAGGCATTCATATATGCCAGTAACAGTCAAACTGAGAACCAAATCAAAGATTCAATACCCTTCATGATAGCAACAAAGAAAATAAAGTACCTAGGAATATATTTAACTAAGGAAAGACCTCTACAGGGAGAAATATGAAACACTGAGGAAGGAAATAGCAGAGGACATAAACAGGTGGAAAACCATACCATGCTCGTGGGCCGGCAGAATCAACATTGTTAAAATGTCTATACTACCCAAAGTGATCTACAGATTCAATGCAATCCCTATTAAAATGCCAACATCATTCTTCACAGATGTAGAAAAATTAATTTTACTCTTCGTATGGAATCAGAGAAGAGCCTGTATAGCAAAAGTAATCCTATGCAAAAAGAACAAAATGGGAGGCATCAATTTATCAGCCTTCAAACTATGCTACAAGGCTATAGTAACTAAAACAAGATGGTACTGGCACAAGAACAGGGACATAGACCAATGGAACAGAACTGAGAACCCAGATATAAAACCATCCTCATATAGCCATCTAATCTTTGACAAAGCAGACAAAAACATACCCTGGGGAAAAGAATCCTTAGTCCATAAATGGTGCTCAGAAAACTGGATAGTCACATGTGGAAGACTGAAACAGGATCCACACCTTTCACTTTTCACAAAAGTCAACTCACGGTGGATAACAGACTTAAACCTAAGGAGTGAAACTATAAGAATTCTAGAGGAAAACATTGGAAATACTCTTTTAGACATTGGCCTAGGCAAAGAATTTATGAAGAAGATCCCAAAGACAATCACAGCAACAACAAAAATAAATAAATGGGAACTGATCAAATTAGGAAGCTTCTGCACAGCCAAAGAAACTATCA